AATCCATCAAGGTTATGATTAAGCTATAAGCAAACATTGTTTTTTTTTTAGTTGGTTTATTTCACTGTTATCTTGGTCATGTCCTTTGAATACTCAATAAAATTATTTTTCACTAAAAAGTAGTATAAAATTTCCATTGTAACTAACACAGTTTGTAAGTTTTATGATCAAATTATGTTTCCTTGCATAAAAGAAGAGTTATGGTTCATTATCAGTTTCAAGGTTTCTAGTTTCTGACATTTGACAAAGTCAAGAACTTTGGTTTCATTTTCACAATCATGGTTTTTGTTTTTCTTTATTCTTACTTGAAAATTTGTGTAAATTTTTGTTACCGACGAGTTAGAAGGCTGAAGGCCGATAGTTTATTTTTGGATTAAGGATCAAACCTTGGCGGTAGAACTCGAAACAGGATCTGGTCACATTTTTTTTTTCTTTTTATGAATGTAAAATTTATTCAAACAAAAACCATGGTTACATTATATGCATCCTTCATCCTAATGTGCTGAGTTTTAATTTGAAAACTCAGAATAACCAAAAATAGTCTGATTTAGGGGTCCCTTGTTGCAGCACTTCCTCTAGTTTTCCGTTGCTCTCTGTCTTCACCGTTGAGCAACAGTTCTGGACATTGCAGTCTATGCTTTTTAGAAGAGAAGCCGTAAAGAGTGATTGTTCTCCATGACATCTTCTATTCCTTTCTCTCCATAAACAGTACCTTAAGAGGAATTGATATGTGCTGCTTAAGGATGTTCCTGAAACCAATGAGAGCACCTCGCTGAATAAAGAGACATGCCGATGTTAACTGATATTGTGGCCGAGCTTAAACCAAATCGGCAATATGAAGCTACAAATGAAAAAGCGGTGATCACGCGACTCAATCAGATGGTCACAGAACACACAACCAATGTTCCCTACCCCATTCCAAGAAGACATACTATCGGTTGACAAACAGTTATGTGTGGCAAGCCAAACTATGAAAGAGCACTTAGGTGTCGCTTGGATGAGAATTTCTTTTATAAACTTTATCAGCTTTGCTGATTGCTTCTCCATGAAGCTATATCAGAATCTGTAAATTTTTGGACCTTAAGCTTTAGAATCTCCTCTTCAATCTGTATTAGGAAAGTTGTTCTATATATGTCTCCTCTGCCTATGAGACTAGAACACTTCCGCTAAAGAAGCTGTAGAACTGATCCCCAAATCAATATATCCTCTAGCACCCAACACGTTATATAGCCTACCCAGAGAACACCAAGAATCAAACCAGAAGGAGGTATGTTCCCCATTGCTCACCTCTACCTTATGAATACCCTTTGCTATTGATCGATATTTGAGTAGCTTCTTCCATATCCATGATTCCATACTTGTGTTTTCGTTTACCGACCAAAAAGAGCCAATACGGATCAGTTGTTGTTGTATCCAGTAAACCCACAAAGAGTGTTTTGCTATTACCAATAGCCAAATCAACTTCAACAACACACTTTATTTGCATCTTCGATTGACTTTAGACCGAAACCCATCTTCCTCTTTAGGTTTACATATCTCTTTCCATGACATCTTAGCTTTCCCCGGATTTAGTTCCGGACCAGACCAAAAGTAAAGCAGAGCTTATTCTCTCTATCTCCTTCACTCATGACCTTGAGAGTCGGAATGCCGAAATCTAGAAGTTGGTTTTTTTTTTTTTTTGAATATCTTGAAGTTCAAGCCCGAAAGCCCTACATCTCGCAGAAGCGGGACCCACACCAGGTTAAATTCATCTCCTTTGGAGAAGTGATTCCTCCCAACGGGCGTCGAACCCTGTACATCCACCTGGGAGATTTACCACTGGGCCAACACAACGTTGGTAAGTTTTTGATATTAGCAAAAGATAAGAAACGATTTTTCCAAGAACTGATGCATTTCCTAATCTTTTCTTATAACTAACAGTTACCTCTTGAAATTCTCTTAGTCATCAGAGGTTTCCATATATCGTATAGGGCAAGCCCTCACCTCAAATGGAAAACTCGATACAATCGTTGTTCTAGTAGCATGGGAGATTCATGTGATGAACATCGTTTTTTTTACCAAGCCAATTTATAAACTAGATCCCAAAGCAAACTGATCAAACACCACTACAGGAAACGAAGGTATTCGTAGCGTCTGAAAACCGCTATCTAATGATACTACAGCGTTGTAGAAAGCGCTATGTCTGCGCCCGTTATAATAGATCCGATACTTTACGTAGCGTTTTTTAAAAATGCTATTGAGATATTCAATAATATAGCAGTTTTTTGTATGCAATCTTTAAATATACAATAGCAAATATTGTCTGCTATGAATATATTTAATTATAGTATTTTTTTAATTTTACAATGGCAGCTTTGTTATACGTAGACAATTTTGTGTATTTATACAGGGTTGTATTTATACAGTATTTATACAATTTATATACATCATTAAATTTAAATTTTGAATTTCGATGTTTTATTTTTGAATTTTAAAAGCTCTAGTTTTTATTTAAAATGCATAAGAAATAAAAATACACGGATGCCTAATTGGCCTAGTTTTTGAAATGAAGCCCAACACATATGGCAGAACTAATCTGATTCTTAAAGAGACAAAGGATGGATCGAAGTCCATTAGGGAGGTGAGGAGATCGGAGGAAAGTCACTCAAATTGTTGTGAGCGACAAAGTTGTTGCCAGCAATTTACGAAGCTTCTCGACTCATGAATATGCAATCGATGTGATATCTGATTAAACTATCAGAGATTTCTGTGAGGCATCGTTGACAACAATATTTGTACATCATTATTCATAATTTATGAAGCCAAAGAACTTGTTCACGAGGGATGATGAATCCTAACATTTAGAGACAAAAACTGATCTCTTTAGCTTCTTGGCCGGTTGAATACACTAGGAAGTGTGCTGCATTGGTTTAAACAAGAGAAAATTCAATGCTTGTTAGCAACTTTTTAAATCACTAAGATCACACAAATGAAGTGAACATCGACCTCGTTATAGAAAATTATAAAATTAAGCACTGAACAATGTTTTTACCTGAATCCCTAAGATCGATCAAAAAAGAAAAGACAAGCTTGATCCATAGGTCGTTAAGATTATTTTTGTGTTCTATCTGATACTTATACAACTAACAGACAGTCTTCGACTTCATCAGAACAAACAGATTCAACTTGTAAGAAACCAAAACATAAGAAGAACAAATGAAACCTCACATCTGTATAGAAATTAGATCCCGCATTGTTGATGTTCTGGGTTCGATTAAAACCTTCAAACACCAAATTCAAATTAACACCTCACGTCATTTACTTAAAGCACCAATTCTACTTAAATCTAGACGTTTAGACGGACACAAGTTTGTTAAGTAAAGAGGGAATTAGTAAACACACCATCAGATTTATAGAAACAAGAAGGTGAAAAGTCTCGCATGTGGCTCGAAGGATGCTTCCAATGAAGCTATGTTTTCTCCAGTCAATGTTGGCCATGGCGGATCCGTCTCTTCTGTTTCGTTGGAGAAATCTGAGATCAAGAAGGTGCCTGCGGTGTGGGTTGGTCGAAGCCCATCGAGATATGAGATTTTTCAGGTAGGTTTGGTAGAGGTTTTTCGATTGAAGAAGAAGAAGAAGATGAAAGAGATACGACTAAAGAGGAGATGAGTGGAAAGAAAAGATAAGAAAAAGGGTTTCATGTGTGTCCGTTAGATTTATTTCAATCAACGGTTCATATTAGAAACATTGTGAGAATACGCCACGTCATCTATCCGAGTGATCTTTTCCTATTGGCTCTCCTCTTCTTTATTTATTTTTATACCTTTTTAAACAGAATAAAAATAGCTAAATATTATTATTAAATGGAAAATATTTTATAGTAATGAGAATAAATTAAAACTTAAGATTTGAATTTAGTTAGAGTTAGTTTTAAGTTTTAAAAATAAATCCATAAAACAAAAATAGTAGTATAATAAATATATATATAGTAAGATATGTTTTAAGATTGAACCTAAAGGGTTTAGGGTATAGGTATAGGGTTTAGGGTATCGATTTAGGGTTTAGGGTTCAATTTTGAAATTTTTTTTTACTATTTATCAATTAACAAAATAAAATAAAAAATATTAGAAACTTTATCATATTTGATTATTTGTTTTGCATTTTATTTTGTTAATTGATAATTGAAACCCTAAAGGGTTTAGGGTATAGGGTTTAGGGTAAAGATTTAGGGCATAGGGTTCAATTTTGAAAATTTATTTTTTACTATTTATCAATTAACAAAATAAAATACAAAAAAAATTAGAAACTTTATCATATTTGATTATTTGTTTTGCATTTATTTGTTAATTGATAAATAGTAAAATATGTTCCAAGATTAAACCCTAAAAGATTTAGGGTATATGATTTAGTGTATAGGTTTCAATATTGAAACATAGTTTTTACTATATATCATTTAACGAAATAAAATACAAAAATTATTAAAAACTTATCATATATATATATATATGATTATGTATATTTAACAAATGAATATTTGAACGTTTGAGAATATTATTATTTGATTATGTATAATTAACAAATGAATGTATGAGAATATGAACAAATTAAAATGTATTGAGAATTTTTAATTTATGTATATATGTAATTTAGCAACGTCATATATTTGTCGTTTTAATTCTGTATTATTTAGCAATGACATATTGGAAGAGAAAATACCTTATGGAATTATAACCATCAAAACACATTATCGAGACATATCCGAATGGAGTAGTCATTGAATCAAGTATATAGAGGTTAACATTCCAAAGTAAACAAAATATACTAACATAGTAGTCATTGAATCAAGTATCAAATTCTAAAGCTAAAATTCTAAAAGTAAAGCCACATATTCTTCCTTTCAGTTTGAACCTGCACATAGATAACAGTAGAAAAACAACAGAGTCAATAAAATTATTGAACATAAAGAGTTTATGTAGAGGAGGCGAAACATATAAACTGAGCACAGAAGGACATACTAAATAGTTTCCAATTGCCATTTATCGCATGAAAGCCTGAGATTCAGAGCTGTAGAGAAGGAAAAAAACTCACCTAATAAAAGCAGCGTCCTTAGAGAGATGACAAGCACACAACATGAGACATTCCTTAAAAATTGTTAATGATCCCACAGTCTATACTCCACTTCTTGTCCTGCGGTTAACAATCACACAAACTCAAACTAATCCAGAACTAGAATGCTCAATTGCAAGACTCAGAAGGCAGCAGCTTTCACAAATTCTCAATTGGGACTGACTATACGAAACAAGTTATAGATTTGAATAAGCTCTCCGGTTGAATTAGAAAAGACACATTCGCCACTATACTCTAAACATGTCCTTGCTTTGGTGAGCAGAGACGATTCATATGCAAATGACTTCTGATCTTAGCTGAAACATAGATTTACATATACACAGGTGTTAGATATCACAACATAAGCCCTGAGAACAATAAATTCGCGAACAAATGGATAGTGAATCATCAGAATTTGCATACCTAATCCAGATTGCAAAATCAAAAAAATGTCATCAGATGCCGAGGTAAGCTGTTGGTTCTGGGTACGTTTGACGAAGATGGTGAAATATCTCACTTGCAACAAAACACAGTTTCAATCACTAAAGCTAAATATCCGAAGGGAATAATCATTGAATCAAGTATAAAGAGACGAGCAGAGTTAAACTCTATACAAACAAAGCAATTCAATTTCAATTCCACAACAACACTAGTCCAATGTAATCCCTTGAATATATTCTTCTTGTGAACTAGAACAGCAGAGAATCCATCAACATGATGCTTACAAAGATCTGAACAAATCCAAACACAAATCGAATTCAATAACAGAACAACACCAAAACAAATTTGTTAAGTAAGATTCGCGGGGTTTTGTGTGTGTACCTTTGAGCTTTTTATGAATAGGAATACAAGCTTGTGAGGTCATGACGGATGAATTAGAAATCGAGCTGGAGATGGTAGTGATCTGAGAGAGAAAGAGGAAGATGGTAATTGAATGGAGAGTTTTATATGCAAAACGCACTTGAGATTTAAAATTATCAACACAAATCTTGAATCTGTGACAATTCTTCATCAAATGCAAAATTTATACTTTTGCTTACTAGCCAGTCATGACCTGCCCAACGCCTAATGAACAAGCTTAAAGTTTGCAAACAATAGATAAAGCATCAGACCACAATCCAATTCCAATTCTATAGTTAATTTCACATGAATCTTGAGAATAGAAAACAAAGAACAATCAAAAGCTAGACCTCGTGGCTGGATTGATGCGAAGAAGAAGAAGACGGCTTCGAAGAAGAACCATCGCCTTGTCACCAGAATCAACGACGGGAATCAAAAGCTCTCGATCGCTTTCACGAGATCACGATTGGCCGTCACAATCGCCGGCTTCTCGTCTCCCAGCGCCGAAAAATTCAAGTCGGAGAAGGGAGAAGAGAGAAGAGAGAAGAGAGAAGCGAGAAGAGATGGCCAAAGGGTTCCACGAGTTTAACATAATCCATCTATTTCTCCTCTAATTATTTTTTCTCAACTTTTTATTTTGTTACTATTTAGAAAATTTTTGGAGGTAATGAAATTTTCACTTTCCCGGTTATTCCTACCATAACGTTTTTTTGTCATCTATGCTATAATAAAACCAAAAATTAGGCGCGACTGTGAATTATTTTCGCGGTTTTCCTACCATAGCGTTTGCCTTTTCGCAAACGCTATAATTGTTTTCTCAAAACTCAGTTATAGCAGAATCATCAAAAATGCTATACTGTACTGCTATTAATACCTTCATTTCCTGTAGTGCACCTTGACAATATCCTCATTTGATCTCCCATCACCCGGCTTGCCTTTGAATTTATGCAGCCCGGGTGGTAGCCAAATTCTCATCTAGTCGCAACTTCATCTAATTGTTTTCACACATATAACAATTAAGTAAGGGGATAAAAAACAACCCTGCCTCAACCCTCTTTCACTACCAAAAAAACCAGCAAGAACTTTCTGACACTTGGAGATATACTTGCGACTTTGTTAAACACATGACACCATCACTGATACATTTGGAGGGAAAGTTGATTTCTGTAATTTCTGTTGGAACTTATTTTGATTAGTTGCGCCGGACTACTTTTTCGGGTAACTTTCAAAGTTGAAGTTCGTTTGAATGAGAAATGGAGATCCGAAGTGGCTAGCTTGGATAGCGTGAAATTTGACTAAAGGATCAAATGTCGCACTTTGGAAGTTAAAGGAGAAATCCAAACCAGGCATGTGTGCCGAGCCGTGTTGTATCGTGTCGAGCCGGACCGGGTTTGGGATTTTGAGATTTGGGAAATAGGCTTATAACCCAAATGATAATTGTTAATTACCCAAATGTGTAAGTTGATTAAGTCAACAATTATCTCCTTTAATGTGAATTATAAATTGTGTAACAACAAAAGTTAATTCATAACAATTAAAGGTGGTGGAGTCAATGGCATTGATGTTGAGAATTCATTCTCATAACAATAACATTCTCACCTTTATTGCTCCATTATAGTGTTGAGAGCTTGGACTATAAAACCAAGGTTTCATCTCTCCATTTTCATCTGATGGACATATGGATCAAAAAGATCACAATCTCCTTCTCCTTCTTTTCTCTAGTTATCGAGTCTGAGAGTACACACATTACTAGAGTTTGTTAGGCTTCTGATTTTGAGTGTTGCAAATCAGAAGATAGTGCGGTTGTATCCTGGGATTCTGATTGCGTCAAGCCGGCAATTAAAGAATTAAGGAAAGAGTGTCTCGCCTCCGCACAAACCGTTCTTTGTTTATCAAATATTGGTATCGGTTGTTGTATTTTATTTCTGGTTTTTGTCATCAACTATTGCAATTATTCAGTTTTGCCATGTCGTAGAAATCGTGGTCCTACAATTTCAAGAGGTAATATTACTATGTGGAGTCTGGAGGATATAGAGAATCAGGAGTGGTCGTATAAACATCTTGGTTTACCTTTTCCTTACAATGATCCAATTTCCCAAACCCGGTTTTCACCAAATTTTGTTAATGATGCTGGTGAGTTTATTTATGTACCAACAACTTTAGGTTTCATATTATTTATTTTGATCCAAATGGAAACAGCTTCAGAAGAGTCGTGGTTGATGGGTTTGCGGATGACCATATAGGTGCCAAAATGGATTTGGAGACGAACCTCTCCATATCAAATCTGTACTTAATCCAATCACATAGAGACTCTCATGTCAATCTAAGATAGACTCTCTTTTTTTTTTCTGGTTTCTTTTTGCTGCTTGTATTACACTCAAGAAAGTTATCATTAAGGTTTGTCGTTTAATCTCTTTGGCCCTACATCCGTCTCTACTATCTTGATCTTCCTTAATACTACTTCAAATGAATCTGATCATGAACCAAAGAAACAGTAATATTTATTTGGTTCAAATTTCACTACTAAAATCACATGTTAGCAAAACGTTCTAAATTCTCTCATAGTTGATTTTTTTTTCTTAATTTTGCTACCATGTGATTTTAGAATTTACTCGAAACAGTTTTGATTATTTGATTACTTGAACTGTGAGATGAACAAAGATGATAAAAACTAGAATCGCTACTGAATCTTGATCGTCTTTTTTTCTTTAAAACCAAAGCAGCCCGAAGAAACATCTTATCTACTTCATCAAAGTCTGGGGACTTATCATTCTCCACACTTCTGATTTATCGCTCTGCCTTCTAATCTTCTGATTACGAATGAGTCTCAAAAGTCAAAAATACCTGAATCTGTAGCTTGTTCTGATTTTGCGTCTTCTTCTTAATCTAACGCTATTATTATTCAACACAATAACATTTATAAAACGCTGTCATTACATTAAACTTTGAAAGCGTAAATAAAATGCTATTATTACTCAACACAATAACATTTATAAAACGCTGTCATTACATATATTAACAGCGTAAATTAAACGCTATGAAAGAGTAATTCATAACTTTTCAGAAACGCTATTAAACATAATACAATAATAGCATGACATAAAACCGCTATCGAAAGTGGCGGAGCTATTATAGCGTGCGATGATATAGCGTTTGGTAAAACGCTATTGTATCTATCAATAGCGTTTTCTGGCCGCTACAAAAAGCCAATATTCTTGTAGTTGATATGAATACATTGATATATGAATTAGTAACGTTTTGTTTTGTCATACCTAAAAATAAACCTTTTTGTTGTATCTAATTTATATTTTCTAACGTAGTATATAAGTAATCACTTTTAAAAAACGTAACGTGAAAAGTTGATGGATTTGAATGGTAAAAAAGTAGCTGAATCACTTTGTGAAAACTTGAAAAAGTGTTAAACCATTCATTGGTGTTGTCTTTATAATTTTAAATTTCCTGAGGAATAAAACAATTTCACAAAAACTATGGGGTATTATTTGAACAATTTTATAAAATTTAGGGTTTTTTAGTCATTTTTTCTAAACCCGCCTTAAGAGTTAAGAGCATAAAGAAAATATAAAACCCTAAGAAACAGAAGCAAACACTAAACCCTAAACAACAATCAAAGCCACCGGCACTTCCTTCATTCGGAGATCGCAATGATGATGCCGGAACTTCCAGAAGACGTGTTAGAGGAGATACTCTGCCGCGTTCCGGCTACATCTTTGAAACGGTTACGGTGTACTTGCAAACTATGGAACAGTTTATTCACCGATAAGAGATTCGCAAGAAAACACTTCCGTAAAGCCCCAAGGCAATCTCTGATTCTCATGTTGAAGAATTTAGGGTTTTCTTCGATGAGCGTCAATCTCCACAGAGTTTCACCTATAGAGGTAACTGGTGAACTTAACCTAATGGACCCTCATTCTAGTTTAGAGACGAGAAGCTTTCCGTGTTATTACAACGCAACCTTACACCGAAGACAGAAATATGGGTGACAAATAAGATTGGTGAGACCAAAGTGTTGTCTTGGATCAAGGTCTTAACGGTGGATTTGAAGCCTGAGCTTAGAGATGGCATAAAATTCTTGGTCGATGAGGAGAAGAAAGTCCTCGTGTGTACTCAAAATAATGGATACAAAAGGCAAACTATGGTATACATCGTTGGAGAGGACAACAAAGTTAGGGAAGTGGCTTTTGGAGACGAATTCAAACCATTTTGGTTGAATTATGTTCCAAGTTTGACTCAAATCCAGCAAGGTGATGATTAAGCTACAAGAAAAACTTTTTTTGTTTATTTCACTGTTATCTCAGTCATGTCCTTTGAATACTTAATAAAGAGATATTTCACTAAAAAGATACTATTTGCCATGTATTCCTTGCTTTGTAATTACCACAGTTTTAAGTTTTTGATTAATGTTTCCTTACATAAAAAGGAGTTATGTTGACATGTGACAAAGTCAAGAAGTTTGAATATTTCTGCTAGGGTTGTGGAATGAAGCCTCTATCTCATGACATGACTAATTCATGTAGTGAAACCAGAATCTGATCACATTCCTCCCAAGAACTTTTGGAAATGGATCGGTAAAGCTACCAATGTATTTTTTAAATGGATTTTCAGCGGGATCTATGGTATCACATCGGCATACTTCCTTCTCCACATTCGTGATTTTCCTTCTTTACATGAACAAAAAACAGCTAAATTGGTCCAACTGTCCTAGGATTCACTTATAAAAAATATTTCGTGCTTGAGTACTTATAAATTTATGGAGCCGTGTGGTGAGCACAAAGCGAACTATTCTTAATTCGCCTTTTACTAAAGAATACAGTGTCCTCTCCACTTTAAACGGCATACATCTATTTTTGGAGGGGTAACATCTTCTGAAGTTTGCTCCATTAAGCTCCTAGTTCAATCTTTTCACTTAAGTATCTTTTCTACAGCAGTCATTCTTTCAAACTCTTTCTTTTTCTTCCACCGGAAAACTTTTTGCCACCGCACAACCGCCCGCTTACCCATGAGCTTTTTTCCTCTTGAATTTTGTAGAAACTATTCCATCTTGACTCGAACTGTTCTTAAA